GAATTACACCTGACAATAACCTCTAGTACGAACTTCCCTGTCCTTCGAACGTGATATTTAAAATAAGAGTTTAAAGTAGTAATTGTTTAGCAGTTCAAGCCTCAGGAAATAATTACTTGAATTAACACCTGACAATAACTTCTAATACGCAGAAGTTTCACGAATTGTCCAATATATGGCTGCTATACATGTATGTGCGCCCCCTCAGAAATTGAAAGAAAATAACTTATTGTTAGAAATAAAGCAGTGAACAAAACAAACAACTTTAAGACCAAGCCTCAAGTGTTACCTGTCCGTTAAATTTGTCGGTCACTTCTTTGTAGAGGTTCAAGTCAAAGAAGTATCCAAGTATCCGTTAGAGTGAAAAAAAATATAGCTCAGTACTCACTGCAGTGAGTGACAGAGAGCGCATTTTCTCGTCGACGACAACTTGAGGTCACGGACGGACAGACGGACAGACAGACGGACATGGCGAGCACAATAGTGCATTTTTCCATAAATGAGAAAATGCGCTAAAAATGAGACTTAATAGCGCATAACTAAAGCTTTACCTACCAATTAAGTTTGTCACTTCTCTATAGAGATTCATGTTAAGGAAGTATCCAGACTCGTTGGATTGAACGAAATTAATGACTTACCTGTCCATTAACTTTGTCTGCCACTTCTTTATAAAGGTTCATGTCAAGGACGTATCCAAACTCGTTGGATTGAACGAAATTAATGACTTACGTGTCCATTGAGCTTGTCTGTCACTTCTTTATAAAGATTCATGTCAAGGAAGTGTCCAGACTCGTTGGATTGAACGAAATTAATGACTTACCTGTCCATTAAGTTTGTCTGTCACTTCTTTATAAAGATTCATGTCAAGGAAGTATCCAGACTCGTTGGAGAGCGTGAGGCGTATGGGCACAGTGTGATGCTGAGGGCTGTGCCGGATGAGCATCTTAATTTCGGCCTGCAGCACTCGCAAGCTCCACAAACGACGCCCGTAGCGGTTCACGATCGACCTGATCGAGTCTTGGATCTGCCCAGGATGATATCATCAAGTTTTCAATTTTTGAATGCGGATAATATAATCTGGGTGACTATTTTCACCAATAAACTAGTGCCAATTTTCGGCCCTAATGTTCAAAACACATACTACGAATANACTCGCCTCAATTTCGGCGTAGGGGCTGCCGGCAGTCACGTGAGCGCCGTCTTCCTCCAGGAAGTTCAGGAGTTTGCCAGGTGCTGTTGACCGTAGCAGGCTTGGGTCGCTCTCCTTCTCAAAAATGCAGGTCTGATGCCCTATGTTAAGGCGGTACCTAGAAAAAGACAATATTTCGTCTTTTTTCAGTCTCGCTCCATTGAAAAGTTACTTCTTATTACGGGAATTTTGTAATGTTACGCGACTTGATTAAGGCGGTACCTAGAAAAAGACAATATTTCATTATTTTTCATCGTTATTTAGTCTCGCTCCTTTGAAAAATTACTTCTTATTACGGGATTTTTGTAATGTTACACGAGTTGAGGAATGGAAAATGAACATAAAATCATATTTGAAATTTGAATGATAAGGAAATGTCTAACCAAAGTGAAAAATAAGAAATCAAGAATACAGATTGATCCTATTAACCAAGCCAACAAACAATACCCAGTGACAAAACAACAAAAACAATTATGAACGTTATTGACAGATTAATGAATTTATGAATAGCTTTTCTACATCGATAATGAAATAAATTTTTAGTTGTTCATCATTTTATTGTGTTAACATAATAAAATTATTAGTACCGGTATGTTATAATCAATCCCATATATATCAAAATTCAGGTTAAAAAAGAAATCCACTGCCCTTTAGGATGAAAAAAATTGGCAAAAGCAGACAGCAATTATATATTTTATATACCTACTTGTTGACTTTGATCAGTATATCCATCACGAAAATTTAGCTAGAACCCCCATCATAGACCATTTCCGAATTATAAATAAAATATGCGTTTAAAAATTGCTATTTAAAGACAACACTTCTGAACAATCCAGTACGTATCTTGGATGTTACACATGTACAATGAATTTCTAATTTCGTTTTCAAATATTGAAAAAAAAAATTATTCTTCAAATTTTTTTAAGATATCAAAATTTTTTAAATTTTAGTCTCTGATTTTATGCAATTGTGCAAAATTTCAGATCAATTGGACAGGTCAAATTGTGTCATATATGGATTATAAGATTTGTATGAAACGAAATTATTTTTTCAATTTTTTTTTGAATATTGAAATAAAAAAATTTTTAATTTATAAAATTATTTACTCTGTCAATTGATTCATGCATTTTCTCCAACTTTACGCAATTGCGCCAAATTTCAAATCGATTGGACAGGTAGAAGTGTGTTAAATATCGATTAAAAGATTTGTAGCAGACAGACAGACAGACAAGAAGTGAAGTTAAAGAGAAGTGTTGTAATAATAATAAATGGCAAGAGCAGATAGAAATCACTTCTTATGTTCGATCAAAGATCTGTCACAATATTATAACTGAAAAATATGTGTTTAAAAATTACTTTTTAAAGACAACACTTCTAAAGAATCCAGTGTCTCCTATGTTACACACGTACAATGAATTTATTACTTTATTTGTAAATATTAATAAGATAATTTTAAAATTTTTTTTAAATGTTAACCAAATTTTATATTTATAAAATTATTTATTCTGACAATTGATTCATGCATTGTCTCCAGCTTTATGCAAGTGGCAAAATTTCAGAATGATTGGACAGGTAGAAGTGTGTCAAATATCGATTATAAGATTTGTAGCAGACAGATAAACAAACAAGAAGTAAAGTTAAAGGGAAGTGTTGGAAAAAGAAAATACATTTTTTTTAGAATTAAAAAATCTACGGCAAAAGCGGTGAGCTATTACTTGTCGACTTTGGTCAATGTACTTATCACGAAATTCAATCAGAAATACAAAAAAAAAAATCAAAGGCTATTTTGCAATTAAAAAATCAAAGGCTATTTTGCAATTAAAAAATCAAAGGCTATTTTGCAATTAAAAAAACAATGGCGATAGCATGCAGCTATTAATTGTCGACTTCGGTCAATGTACTTATCACGAAATTCAATCAGAAATACAAAAAAAAAAACAAGGCTATTTTGCAATTAAAAAAAATAATGGCGATAGCATGCAGGATTTACTTGTCGACTTCATTTTGCAGGTAAGTGGTGTGGCTATGGCCGTCAACGGAGATGAGGAGACCTCCGTCGGTCATACGCAGCACATCCACCAGCTTATGCGATCCGTTGAGCGTGAGGAAGAACTGCGCTGGTCCCGTCTTGGCGACATTCAAGTTATACTTCATGCCTGAGCCTATGAGCTCAACGTCCACAACATTGTTCAGAGACTTCAGAGGGAGAACCTGACCTCTGAAAATTATTGATTAATTGCAACATACCTTCAACTGAATATTGAAATAAAGAAGCAAACTACAACTTCATGCTAAGGTCAGTGAAAAATTTCTTTGCGCTAGAATATAGAATATTCAGTATCAGACATGTTCTCTATCTGGAAACCGACCAGCAACAGAGGGCAAAAATATTCGGATTGAGACATCACCAATTTGATACAACACCAGTTTAAAACAAGGAATACTTACTTCTCCAAAGAGTTGTGGAAATGATTGATAGCGTCTTGTATTTTACTATCAGTGATGTGCACGGCCGTACAGAGGACCGCCACGACCATGTCAGGTTTCTTGCCTTGCACGCGTTGTGAAATCAAACTGTCAAGCCAGCCTGTGTCTGTAGAGAGTACAGGAAAAACTAAGCATGAGAAACGAATAAATCCTTATTAACATTTCTTAAATCGAAATGCGCAAGTTGAGAAAATTCTAACAAACCGTGAAAAGTTGACTCGTAGGCAGCTAAGAATTTTGAAGGATTTAAATCAATTGCTGAGTTCATAAGGTGGCGACAAATTATTCAAAATGTGTTCAGATCTATGGAAAATAATTCATTTGCATTACTTTGGAGTGGTTTCAGTTTATACATAATTTTTTCGTCACGAACACCAAAACCACAAGAAAAAAAAAAGATTGCGACATGAATTTCTCAATGATGAACAAACCAATTGTATTGTCTTGAAACGTGGAAGTTTCCAGCAGGGAGATGAGATAGTCAACGATGGTACGGAAATCGCCTCTGATTGATAGCTCCTTCAATGCTACTATCAAATTTCTGCAAAGAATAAAACGGAACTCAATGAAGAAACTGAAATCTCACCGTGCATGGTGCAATATATATTGCAATAGCAGGAACGCTAGTCGAGAAAAACTGTTATTTAAGATAGCAGGGCAGTTTTTCAGCTGATAATCCATCAATATGCTTCAACTAACACAACATTCGTAATGAATAATTGAAAGTACAAGATAAGGGAGCTCGAGTCACTCACTTCCTGGCGTCCTCCCTGTTCTCGCCCCAGGCGAAGCAGTGGCCAAATTGAGAGTCTGCGTACTCGTGCAGGCCGCCTGACGCTGACACGCTGAAGTAGCCCCAAACATGCTTGCTGCTGCGGAAATTAAGCTCCTTCACTGAACCTGAACTTGGTTTGAAACCTGTCAATCATCGAAGACGAGCTCTGTGTCTCCCCAGGGAAGCTCGCCGTACAGCACACGAATGCAACGAATGCGTGACAGCGATAATCCCATCGCCACCTAAATAATAACAATCAGACTGCCGTTACGAATAAATCTGGACTTAATTATAATAAATGGCTAACTCAGAGTGACGAATATCATCTGTAAAATTGTTTTGAATTTAATATATTCTGAATATTTTCAATTTAACATGACTTCGAAAACATTAAAAATAATCTTTATAGTTTCAAGAATGTAAAATGTAAATGAAACTTCAATATTTAAAAACTAAAAATGTAAATTTAATTATAACAATAATTGTAAACAACGAATTCCAGAGCCATTAATACAAGTATACGTATCTAGGATAGAAATCTGAAAGGAATTGAAAGCCCTAAGAACTTCCGGGACTTCGATCCTTCACCGTGCATCTCCAGCCTATCATTGATTCTAATGGAAGCGAAGTCTAATAATGAAGGAATTTTATTTGCACTAATTGTCTATTTTCACTAATTGTCTCTATTTTGCCTGAGTAACTCAAACTTCTAGTTTCATTTTGCAGATAGTTGCTTGAATTAGTTATGGGAAATATAGACCACCCTATTGAGTGAAGATGAAAATCGATATCAATTCGTACTTGAGATAGATTTTACAGACTGAAAGAGCCGATAACCACAAACAGAACCAATTCTACATTAGTACAGCAATGCAGTCGGTAGTTTTTCGGTTGTTGGAAACTTGAATCTTAGAGATCAAACTGACTGAATATGGCAGCGCACCTGGAGTTGCGCTGCTGGCAAGTTGATGTCCGTGATCATTTCCGTGCAGGGATGTTCTACTTGAAGTCGAGGGTTCAGCTCCAAGAAGTAGAAGTTGGCATCGTTATCATACAAGTACTCGACAGTGCCAGCGTTCACGTACCCAACGACCTTTGCAAGCTTAACAGCAGCCTGCAAAGTGAACAAAATATTAATATTCTCATCCTTCGCGAGCTTAACAGCAGCCTATAAAAAGAACACACTACCAATTATAGTTCACTACTTATAGTTCACTAATTATAGTTCAACACACTACCTTAGCCGCAGCCTACAGAGTGAACCCACTATTAATTAATATTCTAATCCATTGCAAACTTACAGTAACTGTACCCTAGAAAGAGAACATACTACCAATTAAAGTTCTAATTAGGAGGAACCAAATCAGAAAGCTGAAAAATTCACGTTGTCAATAATAAGAGAGCTATAATGTTAATCCTTAGACAACATTGAATTTAACACGATTGCATTATATAACACCAAGTTAATATGTTATAAATCCCTAGCTAGTTTGAAATGCATCAGTAAGATTTCAAAATGCTAGCATCGGTATAATCATCAAGGATGCCTTCACAATCAAATATTATAAATCAAAACCTGTTCCATTTTCCAGAAAACGTCAGGCTTAGCGATGACACATGGTGCTTCTTCAAGAATTTTCTGATGTCGCCGCTGCACGGAGCAGTCACGGCCGAACAGAGAAATAGCATTGCCGTATTGGTCAGCAATGATTTGAACTTCTAAATGTCGTGCGCACTTGGCAAGCTTCATGATGAAAATTGGCGATCCTGGTACTTCAGCTTGCACCTGTAAAGTAGGACTGGGTGAGAGAAAACTGATGAATTCAATTACAAATCAAAAGAATTAACCTGGAATCCTAGATAAATGAAATCGTTGGTCTACTTAAATAAAAACGGCTTCAAGAAATGATTCAAATTTGTCAACAAAAAAAAGGAATGGTTTACCATCTTCGAAATCATCATTGAATACAGTGTGCTTCACAACAGTCACTTCATCCGAAGTATAAATAGAGGATCTTTGCTAATCGTATCCATATTCACTTGAAATGTGCACGCATAAACCTCCCGAGTTGGTAAACAAGGGGAAATAAATGGTAAAAAATATTTTTGTCATGAACCTGAGTTTTATAACATCAACTTGAATTACTATCTATTATACTATCAACTAACGCATAGTGCAACAATTTTGAGGTTTTAGAATACAGGATAATGAAAAAATTCAATGAAGTCGAAATTACATGCAAGAATAATGGGAATGTTTCTACATTCCCAGAGAATAGTAACAAGTTTATAGTCTCCTACGACTTACTTGTCTGTACAAAGCAGGCAACGAGTCCTCGCTCTCAACCTTCCTGATGCCTTTACCGCCTCCACCTTCTGAAGCTTTGATCATGATAGGCAAACCAATGCGTTGCGCGGCCGCCATGGCCTCTTCAACGCTGTGCACGCAGCCACGCTCGTACAGATCGCGCGGTATAGACACGCGCGGTGATCCATCAGCGGCTTCCGTCATTTCAGCTTGGAGGCCTGTAGTTCGATTGGGATACTTTAAATTTAATGTCAGATAAGAGAAGTTGGATTCTTTAAGCATAATGTCAGATAATAGGAGTTGGATTCTTGGTAATGTTAGAAAGAAGAGTTGGATTCTTCAAATATAATGTTAGATAATGCAAGTCGGGTTCTCTAAATTTAATGTCAGATAAGAGGAGTTGGATTCTTGAAATGTAATGCCAGAGAAGAGGAGTTTGATTCTCTAAATAAAACACCAGATAATACCAAGAGCAATAAATATGTGACATTGTCAACCATCGGAGAGGAGCAATACTATTAGGAGAGCAGTACAATATTAATAGGATTCCTTCTTCTCATGATAATATTATGAACAATGTGTTTTTGAATTTGATTATAAAATGAGAAATCTGGTCCAAAATTCAGATCCAAACATTAAAATAGTCTTATCTGACGGTAAACCTATAAACCACCTGATGGCTAACTAGAGTAACATGCCAGTAAATCAGGTCTTCAAATGTGTGACTATGAACTTATCAAATATATCTACGCCATGATTTCTCAATATGGGTGCGTTTGAGTTCAACAGAAGGTTATTATAAATTCGTAGGTATTCTTGCATGAAGTATGATGGTCACTCACCAGATCCTGACCAAGGCAGTGTGGGGATATTTGCAGTTTGAGCAACAATGCTAGAAGCAATTTTGTCACCGAGGAACCACATAGCTTGTTGTGGTGGACCCAGAAATGCTATGTTGTTCTTGGCCAGTTTTGCTGCAAACAAATAAATATGTTAAATAATGTTATGAAAATAAAATGATGAAAAATAAACCATTTGGATGTCCACGACTGAGTTTTTTACCTACTCATTACTCACTCATTTTATACCCACTGTACTGAGAACAAAGCATTATTGAAATAAAATTTAATCTATAATTGCAGCAAAGACTGTTGGGATTTCATCATATAGTAAGCATATTATGCACACAACTACAAGGAAAGAAAATTCCACAAAATTCAATTTCCAAATGAGGAAAGGATAGTAAATGTGGAAATTAACTAATATATTACCTGGCAGCAAGGGGTTCTCAGAAGCATGTCCCCAGCCTGCCCACACGGCATCTACTTGGAATCGAACAGCAAGATCAACAATGAGCTTCACATTGGCATAGTTGTTGTTGTTGGCACCACCAGGGACTTGAACTGTTCTGTCTGCCAGCTTGATGTAGTCAGCACCAGCTGAAAAATAGTTTGGAAGATTACTAGGTTATCTTAAATTTTTCCCCATTGTAACTCAGTTTTCAGTTTTTTCTTCTGAAGCATAAAAAAAATTAATATGGTGTGGTACGGTATTACAATCTTTAGAGGTATAACTATAGATAGACACTCTATTAACTTGAAATACTTTTATTATTTACTTTATAGCTGAAAGCTTATCAAGGAAACATTTACCAGCAGATGGTTTACCATAAATAAAAATTTAGCACCTATTACATCCATGACCATCTAATGCATTGCCACCATTAAGAATTTTATAAATAAAAAATGCATGAAGAAACTATGGATAAAATTAGGTACCGTAACACTACACAAAATGAAACTCACCTTTCAAATCTTCTTCTGTAACCATAACAACAAACTGGATTTGTCTATCATTTTTGAAAATTTCATATGACCAACGCCGGATGCTGTGCATACACTTCACAGCTGCAATTCCATTGTTGGCAATCAGTACCTGAGAAATTGCACACAAAGAAGAGCATGAAATACAATGATCTGATGGTTAAATACAATGTAAAATATTGGCACACAGTACTTAAGCATTTGGTATCTAAGAAATACTGCAATCAGTTCCTATGAAATGGCATACAATAAGATTAACTAAAATAGTCAAAGATCCATTAATAATAAAGTAGGAGCATGTAGAAATGCTTATTTAAAGACCACTTCAAGCATTTCCTTGAACAAGAATTCAAGAATTAAAATCAACATAGAAAACAATAATCAATAAATTATTTGGTAAACAACTTGCAACCCACAGAATTGATGGCTTTAGTGCCTCCCATCCTGCGAACAAATTCTTCAGGTGATGCCACGCTGAAGTGACTACTTGAGTCCTTTGGCTTCTCAGCCATCTTGGAGGTTTGCTGGTTTCCTGTCCAACTTGCACTTCTGCTTGAGTGTTTCTACTGCAGTATTAAAGTCTGTAATAAAAAATGAAATACTAATGAAAACTAATTAATGAAAACTAATGAATCATTTAAAGTCTGTAATAAAAAATGAAATACTAATGAAAACTAATTAACTTGCTATATAATCAATTTTTTGTTTATGTAGTACAGCCTTTTATTGTAATCTAGTTAGCTTCTTGGCAAGTTGCCAGAAAAGCAACTCAATTCAATTTGGAATTAAAGCCAACAATTAACTTAAATACTTATCCCCATGAATATTCATTGGCATGGGGCTGTACTTTCAGGATAACTTTTACCTCAACAGGCTCAACAGCCCCAAATTCAAAATAATGTATCCCCACCATCTATCATCTATGCCACTAACTTCACCACAGTACTTATGTTGTGTTGCCAGGATGCCAGCCTTCAAAACAACAGATTTATTGTGTTAACAAAACTAATCCACATTTCCCACTGCAATCAATAAAGCTTTACAGTTATTACATGGTAATCAGTCCCTGTAAACATAATAAATAATTCTGAAGTTTTAAACAGTAATGAGTCACAACTTCACATTTCACAAGTGGCAAGTTAAGTGCAGTACCGTATCTGCTCATTCTGCTGTGTGGTGACTTTACTGACGTGTGTCACAGATGGCTCTCAAGGCTTGACAGTAAGCCAAGTGTGGAAAACATCTACCTTTAGGGCCCAGACTAGAGCTTTCCCACCATTTCTGGACTGCAAGATTTTCACCAGATAAATTATTATTACCTCCTATGTAATTGTTAACAAAAGTGCACAATCTGGCCACAAGTTTCCAATTATATTACAATTTGTCATGTTAGAGCCACAAGATTTTGAAAACAAGTACCTAGGAAAATTCCAATCCTGCAGAAGTGAGTAAGCAAACTTGGCCACTGGCCACTGGCCAGACCAGGCCAGTTAGCCAAACTTTCAAAAAGTTTTCAGGTCCATTAGAAATTGGACTCAAATGTCCAATTTTCAAGTTTCCAACCAATCCAATGTTATTATAATTTATAATCTAGTGACTTTGGTCTTTGGGTGTGGAGGGAAACTGGGAAAGTGGTATACTGGTATTTTCTTCTAGTAATTTCCATCCAGCTTGAAGAAATCAATGAAATTTTATTAACAAAAATACTTTTGGAAATTGGATGGCTGACATTCATCCAACTCCATTCCAAATTTGTTTTGGTTACACGTTACAGTTGGCAGTTACACGGTTACAGTAAATTTATTTCAAGAGATTACATATAGGTACCGGTATCGGCGGTATGCCTTCTAGTAAAAAATATTTCTATAGTTAGGTACTATTAATTAAAGGCAATAATCTTGTCATTATTAGGTAATAAAATTGCTGGTGGCCAATAAAACCATTTAAATATGCAACTAAAACTAATCATTAAATCCTGTACCTAAATATACTGCTATAACTGTAAGTATAGGTACTGGTAGGAACTTCACTAGGAAGTAGGTACAATTTTTGAAGTTTAACTACTACCGTACGGCGTACCGCGTACGTGATGACTAGCTACGCAGCTGTTTCAATCCTAGAAAGTTGTTGCTCAATTTACAATTATGTTCATAAAAAAGTACTTTCCAAATTCCAACGAAGGCTGGGTAGGCTGCCGTACCCGGCTAGGCGCCCTAGGTGTTAGTTAGTACGCCGACAGAATTGGCATTGAGGTTAATTATTCCTCAAGAAAGTTGATAATTCATCTCTAATTCTACACATAAATATTCTCAAATATTAATAAACTTCATCAAAAAATTTTAGATTTCAAATCACCGTACTGTCGTTTTCACCATATAGTACGCACTCCACAGAACCTGCGACTGCGAGGCTGCGAAGTATAGGTAACTGCGAGCTAACTCAGTCTCAGCTAGTGCTAGTAAGCCTAAATTCAGGTTGCCAAACTACTAAGAGTAAGACGACAGGACCAATTCACTTCAGCGCAGGCTGAAACGATAGTTATCGCAAGTTTCTAATTTATAATGGATAATTTCACATACATGCTATGCAATCATAGTATCTTGTGTAGAGTTTAATTTGAATCATTTACCTCATTTTGCATAAACTCGTTCTTTAATCATCTTGCCTCAGTTGCCTGGTGTTGTGCTTTTCGTTATGAGCTTGTGAGTCGTGACTGTCACTTGTTGCGGTCAGACGGGTCAGCTGTCGCTAAGCGAACTTTCAGGACAACTCACCACATGACGAAGCACCTGCTGGAGAAATTCATAGCTCAGTTTGTCCATTATGTTAGTCGATATATAATGATTCGATAATTTATCTCCACCAGTTTGACATGAAAATGGTAAAACGGGTAATTTGAGCAACTAAATCACTTCTTATTTGGTTGATTTGAAACTTATTTTAATTAATTACCTATGCATCCATTAATGCCCTAAGGGCTGCGAGAGCTGCCGTGAATTCGCATACTCGTTTTCTATTGAAACGTGATTACGGATAACTTCAGCAAATTAAAGTTTCGATTCGATATTAGTGAAATTCCACATATGCATTTGAATGACCGTGTCGCCTTGACGTAAAATAATTTGATTTAAGTTTTTTTATTTAATAAATCTAATCGTATTCTGAAATCTAAACAATCGAGTCGCTGAAATAAAAAAGTGACGTGTCTTCGGAGCCATGTTATTTCCCAACCATCGAGCACTTTCAATACTTCTTGAAATTCTCTTATCGTGGATTCCTCATTTTCATTATAATTTTGCCTTCTTGGGTGATCTTACGAATATTGTGCATGAAATTTTAATAGTCTTACAAGTTTTTATCCTTCTGTAAAGCGATTGGTACAGAATCTGTGGTTAGAGTTTACAGAAGAATAATTTTGGTTCAACTTTAATCGATATAATTATCACAAAGCGAAATCTGAATATTCATATCATGGGTTTTAATGCTGAAAATTTTTTGGATGGTCAGGAGAATGCCATGATAACGCCATAATTCTATCATGCATGGCATGTTCTTAAATTCATTTAGCTACAAAACGCGAGGCAAGCGCCATCCATTCAGCCTCTTGACTACAAATTCGCATTACAGGAATACATTAAGTTGAGTAAAATCCTCGAAACAGGCATTTGTCCAGTTTTCAGTTAGCTACGCATGAAGTTACCAATCTCGTGACACTGTTTTGATTGGAGTGAGTTTGTTCGATAATAACCATCGACCATAAATATCAAGCGCATTTTTTCGCGGATCAGCAGAATGTCACCACTACAGTGCGTTCTCGTTTTCAGTTTAAGCTTGTTTTTTTTAGAGTTCTTGCTAATGAAGCCGTCACCAGGACTCCTAGAATAAGTCGGCCCGACCTTAACTTTTCTCGCCCTCAGTGGCATCTAAACTACGTATTCTATTAAAATATACAGAGAAATTCAAATGTGGTTATTTCCAAGCTGCTCGCATACAGAGTGATGCAATGTGTACTTGCGCCCTGGCTTGTCAAATGTTATTCGATATTGTTAGGAACATGATTTTGCATAACATGATTTTGAATATGGTAAATACAATTTTTTAAATTAATTCACACATACTTTCCATGCACTGAGCCTAAATCCTCAGTCAATTTTAAACTGAGCTTCAATGTCAGTCCGCTAATAAAAGTTTGTGAATCGGACCTTGCTGAATCTAGTACGCTGTTAATGTCATTACATCACCCAGACGATACATACTATTAACTATATTGCGGCAATTAATTAGTTCAATCAATTTACTGACATGCGGTTTTACTATGACAGCAAATTAAAATATATTATTAACCGGAAAATGTAAGTTCATGCGAGGCAGTCGTCATGGTCAAAAAATCATCACCAAATAAGATCCCATGAGCACGCTGAAGTACGATGACGCTCATGTGTTTTTGGTCACCTGGACCAAAATTGTCTAGTGACCGCGCTGCTATCTCCTAGATGTTCGCTAGTCAATGTCTAAATTTAATCTTGGTTGTTCATAGGGCTGCAAAATCTTCAGCGTCAGTAGGAAAAACATTCGCTAATTTAATCAGTCGTTATGGTGAAAAGAAAACATTTTTTGCGTTGAAATTACTATTAATTTAATAAAATTGTAAAGGGACGTTCTAATAAGAATTCAACACATAACATGAGTAACCAGATGCAGGGGAGAAACATATTACATATATCTATATTTTATTGAATCAAATAAATTCTATAATACATTAAACTAAAACGTGGTGATCTGAATGCGTTTCATATCAATCATTTAATAAGGATTTTTCAATGTGAAGTAAAATTTACACAAAATAAAATCCATTCATAGTTAATAGTATGACAGCATTTTGGAAGAACATTCATTAAGACAGTATTCAATGTAATTATGGAACAATCGAACAACGACCTACTGCGTCTTTTTTTAACGAAAAAGCTATTTATAAGTATTATTGTGCAGTAACTTTTATAATTGAAATATGATATGGTACCTATTTTCGATGCTAAGGCATGATTCAAAATATAATTCTGAACTCGAACATACGGAGTGATTCTAAAATGGAATATCTACCATGAAAAAAGCTGCACTCGTATATGGCCACAATTTGAACAGGTAATTTTTGAAGTATTTCAACCGCTATACAACCACCTGGCTAATAGTTATGTGTCACCGAAAACTATGACTAAAACAATTGGTCTAGTTGGGATTATTGAATTTAATTTTCAATTGTAGGGATTGCGCAATATAATCTAAGTAAATAAGTGAGTTTATATGTAGATATTGATCATTATAATACTAATTCTATTCGTTTGATATTAAATCACAACGTCATAAATAAGATTTTAACAATTTTTCTCATGTCAAATCCCATGACAGAATAAAATTCTTCTTCATAGCACAAAAATAGATGCTTTTAATATTTTCAAATAAAGCTGCACATTTAGATTAATTATTCCATAACGTGTGCATTGGGTCTATCAAGAAACGGTTTTATTTTGAATTATTGATCAATGTTACAAGAATACAGCATTTGCGTGAAAACGATAATGAAATTATTAATCGGGTTCTGCCTTATACTGCATTCAACTTCTGACGAATTGCTGACTCACACCATAACTTCTTAAAAAATGATATCCTCGATGCGTCCAATGTGCAGTTTCCTAATAAACTGTACAGCTCTCCATATGTAAAACTATTTTTAGTAAAACTTTGCCCACACGGAACGTTTTTCGTGTGGGAGGCAAGTGAGTGCGAACTTGAAAATATTACAATTACGGGATACATTTGGAAGTTTGTTGCTCTGAGATATACGATTGTCTTCATAATGTTACCCGGATAACGTAGGTTTTCCCGAAGATTCTCCTCATACATCATATTCATATTAATAGGCAATAAATCGATTAAACATTGAACACGAAACAACAGTGGAAGTTTGTGACAACCTTTCGACATGAAAACGCAGTGATTGCCATCGAGTGGCTTTTGTGACAACATGATATTCAAGTTACTTGCACTCTCACTGATCGATTCAAGCTTTCTATCTACTAATAAATACATTGAATAATCACAGAGAGTTTCTTCGGCACCAATGCAGGCCGAAATCCCGATAAGGTACTGTCCCGCATTATGCAAAACATGAACGCTTCTTCTTACGCTCAAATTTTGATCCGATGATTTGGAAGTATTAAAATTCGGATTCAAATATATTAATGAGTATTCCGAACTCTTTTGTGTCATGGGTTTTTCTTCGGGTGAGCCAAAGTATTCTGATTTATTTCTTTTTTGCAGCTCGATTGATTTTGGGGTAGTAACAAGAAATCGGGAAGTCCAAAAGTTGGCGGAAGCAAGCAGCAACATCACCAGGAACAGGTGAACACCGATGTGCAGATCCCATTGTGTTCTCCCTGCAGATGATCTGATGATGAAGACGCTACTGTAATGAAGTCAGTAACATTAATATTTTAATTTACTATAATTTCCGTGCTGTTATCAGAAACTAAAAAATCGACTTACTATTAAGATTCCGACGATAGAAAGAAATGAATTTCTTAAAAAAAATCATTGAAAAGAGTAAGATTTTACAATCCCGATCAAAAATTATTCATGAAGACTATTCAAGCCAGAAGCACTGACCCAGAAGGCCGAGTGTGCAGAGGTCGCGAGTGTTCAGGCATTGGAGTGAAACAATTTCAAATGACCCGCATTTTGCCTAAATATAGTACGATAGCATGCGACGTGCGACAAGAATTTTCAATAACCGGCATGTTGCCTTAGTAAAATAATATGATGATTACAGACGACGTATAATAATAATTTCAAATAACCGGCGCTCAACCTCAGTAAAATAATACGATGATTACATACGACGAATAGTAATAATTTCAAATGATAGGTACTTTGCCGTATTAAGAACTCACGTGACGGCGGCAGCGCTGTGGTCGGCGCGGTAGGTAAACTGTCGCCGTATGCCGCCCCCGCACACCTCACCCATGCCTTGCCAGCCCCCGGCGCGGGTGAAGGCCCCGATTGTCAGGTTCCAAGTGGTGCAAGAACCTGCTCGCAGATTATTTCAGTAATACAAATAGATTCGTTGTTTTTATTTACAGGCATTTGATGTATGGGAGGAGATGCAAGGAGAAACGAAAATTTGAAAAAATGTTCGTGCAGCATATATGGAAAAAAATGTGAGAAATTTAGTGTTACACGTGCAGAAGATAATAAGCTTGAATTTATATATTTTTTATCTTGCACCAATTGATTAAAGTTCAAAACATTTCAGTTATTGAAGTGACATAAACATCGCAATATAAATACTCAGAATAAAGTAGCGGCGAACATAACAAACAATTAATTGCCTCAATCAGAGTTGTCATTAGACAATTTTTTTAGACATATTTTAAAGGAGCTTCAGCCCCCCTTAAATATTCTTAAGCTCCCCAAAACAATTTTATTCTCACTTATTTAAAATTGTAACTTTTTTGTATATGGTAACACTGTGGGTATGCGGATTTTTTTTTCTCTTTGTTGTTGGCTTTAATACAGTAAACATACCGTACTTTCTAAGTTTGTTGTTATACTGTATGTGTAACTAAAGATTTGCTAGCTGTTTGGGTAATAAAACGTTCGCTCAAATACTGTACATCTCCTGGTGGCTTAGTATCTCCTGGTGGCTTAGTATCCCCTATTCTTATTCTTAGTATCCCCTATCCCCTATTCTTCTAAATTTTGATCTTGAAACTTTGATCGATCTTCTGTAAAATAATCGGTCTTTTCAATTGATATTTAACCACATGTGCGTTGACCCACTTTTCGCTTCAGTGTTGACCCATGTAGGACTCATATTATTTAATTATTATTTAATTATTATAATATTATTATTATTAACTTCTCTCATTGCAGAGCCTGGAGCTGCTGTCCGCTAGTGCATCACGTTGACCCACCCCCGCCAGTTTTGTTCTCGTGTTCCATTAGTTCGTTGTTAATGTATTATAACTCATTAAATTATTTAAAATAATTATTTAAGTAATGCAAGGATCTTTTGTGTGCGTTTTTATTAATGGCAATTTGAAGTTTTGAAAACGCCTTAAAACCAAGTGTCCAAGGCATTAATTAATTAAGCTAATATCGGGCCAATCATTAATCTTCTGACCATTGGTCGGCGGCTGGACGATGACCGTAAGGACGACATCGATTGGTATTTCGAAGAGTAGTGGCCGAGGTGATACCTCACTTCAACCCCTCCAGTCGAGCGCAACCGCATGGGTGGTAACAGCTGACCCAATTTACAACATATTTTCGAATAAATGCTAAAACATGAGTGCAAATGACCAGACAATTTTGGATAATAACGGAATCATTTGTTGGATTATTCACGGAATTGTCAAATTTGGTTCATGATAAAACTGGGATATAGAGGAAAATTGATATCAACTAATTTCGGTTTAGGAGGAACTGAAGGGCATAATGATTAGTATATCAAGACATTATGCGTGTCAAAATCAGTAATATTTTAACATTTTCAAGGAACCTATAATGCTATGAGCATGGAGTCAAATAATAAAGTCTGAAATAATTCAAGTCGATACGCAACACACAACGAAAATGTAAAGTTTGATCATTGGTTATTTAAAAAACTAATTCTATTCCAGAAATTCCTTGAAAAATATCAAATCCTGCATCAGACAGATCGATATAGGACCATTGCATTCGGAATTCAAAGAAAAACTGTCAATAAGATTCATCAATATTTTATATGTCGAGAGACCTGCACGTCTCCACAGAGACACCCGATGATGCGCTGCAGTTTGGTGTCCAAGAAGAGCAGATGGTCGACCTGTGAGAGGGGCAGCTGCGTCGGCTGACACTGGCAACCNTTCAGGACTCGGGAGAACACAGTAAGTAATGCTTTCCAGGAGCGAATAGGATCAGGTTCAAAGAGCTTTGTGAGTTCAGGACTCGGGAGAACACAGTAAGTAATGCTTTCCAGGAGCGAATAGGATCAGGTTCAAAGAGCTTTGTGAGTTCAGGACTCGGGAGAACACAGTAAGTAATGCTTTCCAGGAGCGAATAGGATCAGGTTCAAAGAGCTTTGTGAGTTCAGGACTCGGGAGAACACAGTAAGTAATGCTTTCCAGGAGCGAATAGGATCAGGTTCAAAGAGCTTTGTGAGTTCAGGACTCGGGAGAACACAGTAAGTAATGCTTTCCAGGAGCGAATAGGATCAGGTTCAAAGAGCTTTGTGAGTTCAGGACTCGGGAGAACACAGTAAGTAATGCTTTCCAGGAGCGAATAGGATCAGGTTCAAAGAGCTTTGTGAGTTCATGACTCGGGAGAACACAGTAAGTAATGCTTTCCAGGAGCGAATAGGATCAGGTTCAAAGAGCTTTGTGAGTTCAGGACTCGGGAGAACACAGTAAGTAATGCTTTCCAGGAGCGAATAGGATCAGGTTCAAAGAGCTTTGTGAGTTCAGGACTCGGGAGAACACATTAAGTAATGCTTTCCAGGAGCGAATAGGATCAGGTTCTGTCTCTTATACACATCTAGATGTGTATAAGAGACAGAGGTTAAATAGTTCACGTGTAGTTGCATGGGAAGAAGATTAGATATTTACTTTGATAGTTGATGGCGCGGAGAAATGGGGTTTCAAAAGGGTCGAGTCAGCAATATGTTGGTCGAGTATAGTTTTCTTACAAGCGTCCATGAAATTCGTGAATGGTTTTTTCTAGGTTGATTAAAAAATTTCTTGACAAATGCTGACCGAACAATCCAACACTCAGGTGGAAAAAGGCAGACTTGAGATATGCTGTCAATGGCTTTATAAATTAGGTGCTATTAGATAAATTAGGCGCTGAATTACCGTAAGTAAAAGAAAACGCAAAGATTTTAGCTCTAAGATCATCTATTTAAATATTGTTGCCTAAATTTTTCGATTACACTTTGTTCTCTATTATATTAATGATTTACAAATAAACATCCATGATGACACTCACATGCTTATTTTCTGTTATATTGAACCTGCTATACATGCTAACAAATGATAGTGAAGAAGTAGTTGTTAGAGTGAAGAAGTAATTATTATTGAGTATTGACCTGAACTCGAGCAACACGCTTGATCCCGAGAAGGTGACGACCTGATGCTCGGATTTTAAAAAGTAACAACAATGATGACAAATTCATGCTAATATTATATTACATTCAGTTCAGACTGTTATGCATACTAACATATCATGTACTTAGTATGAAGAAGTAATTATTATTGACCTGAACTCGAGCAGAACGCTTGGTCCCGAGAAGGTGACGACCTGATGCTCTGTGCCGCACAGCGTAGCTATGAGGGCGCTGCTCGTCGAGGTGCCGGCATACAGAGCGATGTAGTTGCTGCTGCAGGACCTGAGTTATACAGCAATAATTTCACACATAACTAACAACAAACACACATAACAATAATTCAGACATAACAGCAATTCAGACATAAAAACAATTCAGACATAACAACAATTATTCAGACATAACTACAATTTCAGACGAACAGGAACTGTTCAAAATCTCCAAGAAAATGATCGCGATTTTCCTCATCTTTTATATTAATTTTAAGAATAGTTTCCCTAAAAACGTATCTTAAGATTTAATTCTATGTCAATTCACCCTGTAGGCAGGTCCATGACTGTAAAGCTCAGTGTTCCCGTAGCGGCAGCTGAGCGCATGGCGAAGAGATATTTACAGCGCGTGTGTAGTTGGCAGAAGCAAGCAGCAACAACACTAGGAACAGGCGAACACCGATGTGAAGATCCCATTGTGCTCTCACTGCAGATGATCTGATGATGAAGACGCTACTGTAATGATATCAGTAACATTAATATTTTAATTTTTATAATTTCCGTAATGCTATCATAAACTAAAAAATCCCCCTACTAAAGAGAGGAACATATTTCATATAAAAATCCATTGAAAAGAGTAAGATTTTGCAATCCCGATCAAAAACTATTCATGAAAACTATTCAAGGCAGAAGCACTGACCCAGAAGGCCGAGTGTGCAGAGGTCGCGAGTGTTCAGGCATTGGAGTGACAAAGGCGACGTCCGTGACAATGACACCGGACCGCTGACTGTGCCACGATATCATCCAGTCACGCTGTGGTCGCCCGCTCTGCTGAAGGCTGCACCGCCACAACAGATGCATGAGATAGCGATCGTGGAAATTATCGTTGAAAATTAATTATGATTGTTTGAATTTCCCTTTCTTTCTTTGAGCTTCTAATTAAGTACTGATTGTTAAAATTAATTAATTCTTTCTTATCGAGGCCATGATGATTCTTTTTTATCGAGGCCATGACGCTGAGCTGTTGTAGGTTTGATTATAATCAGTACTTGCATGAGTCTCAATATGACGATACTAGTGCACTGTTCCAAATATTCGACTGGTTCATCTCTAAGAAACTGAAACTGAAACTGAAGGGCCTCGAAAGATTAGATTTTTCTTTTACTCTACCGTTCAATTGGTGCTTAATCTAAAAAAAAGTTTATTGAAGAAGGCTGGCAAAGAGTCGGAAATTTAATAATCGATCACAGATCAGAGGTTGAAGATGAATGAATAAATTTGTGTAAAGTGTACGAGTAGAATAACATAACTGACAAAATTACTAGCAAGTCAAAAACGAGCAAGCACTCGTAACGTGCGAAAATACGTAAATAATATAAGTATGGTAAGATGCAAATGACGTACGAAAACAATTTCAAATGTCCCGCATTTTGAATTAATATAGTACGATAGCGTGCGACGTACGACAACAATTTCAAATAACCGGCACTCTGCCATAGTGATGTAATACGATGATTTACATACGATGTAAGGTAATAATTTAAAATGATAGGCAATTTGCCGTATTAACAGGTTAAGTGCGACACGACCCACTTGTGGGTTACAAGATATTTTTTCTGGACAAATTCCGCAATTTATTTTTTTTTTCATTTGCATTTTTCGGCGAAAATTTATGAAGATCAGATTTTGAAATATTTGAATTATATTTGAAATATTTTCCCCCTCATTAGATTTTGAAATATAGGGAAAATTTAGAATTTAATTTTGGCATTGGAACCTACGAATTTCCAATATATTTTTAATTATATGCCTTTCTATTTGCGGACTTGGTCGTTTTTTAGACCATCTGCCAACGTGTTAAACAATGTAAACTGTGAACACTGTACAATGTAAACTGTACACACTGTACAATGTAAACTGTACACAGTACAATGTAAGCAGTGCACATTATATAATGTTAAAAACTCACGTGACTGCGGCAGCGCTGTGGTCGGCGCGGTAGGTAAACTGTCGCCGTATGCCGCCCCCGCACACCTCACCCATGCCTTGCCAACCACCAGCGCGGGTGAAGGCCCCGATAGTTAGGTTCCAAGTGGTGCACGATCCTGCTAGCAGATTATTCCAGTAATGAAAAGATATTCGATTTTTTCAAACGATCCTGCTCGCAGATTATTCCAGTAATGAAAAGATATTAGTTTTTATTTAAAAACAATCCTGCTCGCAGATTATTCCAGTAATGTAAAGATATTCGATTTTTTCAAACGATCCTGCTCGCAGATTATTCCAGTAATGAAAAGATATTAGTTTTTATTTAAAAACAATCCTGCTCGCAGATTATTCCAGTAATGTAAAGATATTCGTTGTTTTTATTTAAAAACAATCCTGCTCGCAGATTATTCCAGTAATGAAAAGATATTAGTTTTTATTTAAAAACAATCCTGCTCGCAGATTATTCCAGTAATGAAAAGATATTAGTTGTTTTTATTTAAAAACGATCCTGCTCACAGATTGTTTTAGTAATGAAAATATATTAGTTGTTTTTATTTAAAAACGATCCTGCTCACAGATTATTTCAGTAATGAAAAGATATTCGTTGTTTTTATTTACAAGCATTAGGTGTATGGGATGGGATGCAAGAAGCAACGAAATTTTTGAAAAATTTGTTGTGTAGTAAATATGGGAAAAATGTGAAAACAGCATTACAGGTGCTGAAGATAATTAACTTGTATATCTATTTTTTTATCTTACATGAATTGATTAAAATTTGAAATATGTTTTGAAGTGACGAAAACATCGCAAAGTGAATACTCAATTTGAAATAGCGGCGAACATAACAAACAAATAATGACCTCAATCAGAGGTGTCATTAGACATATAGTTTAGATGAGCTTCAGCCCCCCTTAAATATTCATTAGCTCCCCGAACTAATTTTATGCTAAATTATTAAATATGTAATTATTTTTGTACATATCACTGTGAGTATTCGGATTTTTTTTTAATGCAGTAAACCTACGGTACTTCTTATGTTTGTTGTTATACTGTGCGTATACTAAAGATTTGTTAGCTGTTTGTGCAATAAAACGTTCGCTCAAATACTTTACATCACCTGGAGGCTTAGCATCCCCCATTCTTAAAACCAAGTGAATAATTAATGCCTTAAAACCAAGTGACGCCTAAGACATTTATTAATTAAGCTAATATCGGGCCAATCATTAATCTTCTGACCATTGGTGGGCGGCTGGACGATGACCGTAAGGACGACATCGATTGGTATTTCGATCACCCAAGGGCAGTTGGTGTGCAGGAATGTAGAGCTCGGTACGCTGTCATCCGAAGGAGGAACGAGCAAACCTGAGAAAATATTTTATATTTTTAAAATGAAATATTCCAGATATATTCTAAGGTATGTAAAGTGAAGTAAATACTTGATTGAAAGTATTGATTGATAAACAATAAGTCACGGAAAGTTTTAAATTCCACACTACTGTAGGTTCAGATCGCGTATTTTTCATTTAATAAAACGCCCCTAAACTTTGTTATCAATCAAACACAAGATTCTTGTTCAAACGCAAGAATTACACAAGAAAAAACTTAAACACAGGTTGGTTTAAAATATTTTTTACTCAAATTTCATTTCACTTATCAAAGTAATCTCATCTAACGCCATCTTTTTATTAAACACCTTGTGTCAGCGACAATCTCTTAATTTCTAGTTCAAAATGTATTGAAGTTTCTTAGAACTGTTGATTTGAAGTTGAACTGTTGAAGTATTGATTTCTTCAATATTATTTTCTCAACAATGATAATAAAACTAACCTGCAGGAGTGTTATGGAAGAGCTGACCACACACGGTAGGCGGGGGGAAGGCATATTCCAGGGTGAAGTTGAAGCCTGGGCTGAGCCACGAGTAGTGGCCGAGGTGATACCTCACTTCAACCCCTCCAGTCGAGCGCAACCGCATGGGTGGTAGCAGCTGACCCGAATTATAACATATTTTTGAATAAAAACTAAAACAAAACTAAAAAAACTAAATTTGTTTTTCGAAAAAAAACTAAAACAAGCGCAAATGAAGACAATTTTGGATTGCCAAAATTGTCAATCTTTTGAAAGAAAATTTTGGATAATAACGGAAAAATTTGTTAAATGGTTCACATTTTCAAGGAATCTATTATGCAATGTGCATGGAGTTAATTAATAAAGTCTGAAATAATTCAAGCCGATACGCAACATACAACGAAAATACAAAGTTTGTTCATTCATTATTTAGCAAACTAATTCTATTCCAAAAATTCCTTGAAAAATGTCAAATCCTGCGTCAGAAAGATATATGACCATAGCATTCGAAATTCAAAGAGAACTTGCATAGATTCAGCAATATTTTATATATCGAGTTACCTGCACGTCTCCACAGAGACACCCGATGATGCGCTGCAGTTTGGTGTCCAAGAAGAGCAGATGGTCGACCTGCGAGAGGGGTAACTGGGTGGGCTGACACTGGCACCCCTCGGAGCCACAATACGTGGCACAGTGACGTGATCCCCGCACTCCAGCCATGGCATGCAACTGTCATGAATTTCTCTGTATTGTTTTCTTTCGTATGGTCTTGCAAAGTATAATGGATCAAGGGTAAATAAATGAAGTTAATTTGACTTTAAGATCAAGGGTAAATAAATGGAATAATAAATGGACTAATGGATCAAGGGTAAATAATGAAGTTAATTGGATTGTAAGATACACTTGCATAATTTACGCCTGACAAAAATATTGGTTAAACTTTTGATATCCCATGCAAATACCGATAAAACAAAGGCATAGAGGAAGTCAAGATCGTGCTCGTGATTCTATGAGAGGATAAAAGATTAGTAATTATCTTCGTGTATAGCAGACTAACCACGAGAGTGAGTGACTGATTGACAGCGGGCACCATGAGGTAGCTGCACGACAAAGGACCTTCCATGTTCCAGAGCAGCGACGCTCCAGGCTGCTGGATTTTGCCCCTTGACGAGCTTGCGGCTCCGTAGAACATCACATCGCACGCGCTGTTAGGTTTCTTTGTTCCCGACATGTGTGCTGGTCGTTGATAGAGAACCATGTTTACATAAGCGATAGATAATACTATTTTACCTGAACCCTGCCAGTTTAGATTAAGACAGAACTTATTTGGTTTTAACATTTCTTTTCCAGTACAAGCCACAAACATTTATTGACATAATTGACATAAAGTGTTCAATTGGAAATAAATCAGATAAATTCCATAAACGAGAAGGGATTGACTCACAATTGTGGAACTGATAAGCCCCAGCCAGAAACTGACGATGAGGATCGGTCCCGGGACCGAACTTGAGGTGCACCTCCATGACGCTACCGGACGACGTGAACAATTCAGGCTGAAGAAAATTATCGTTTGCGTCTTTAGGTTCCCGTGTGACGGGACCACAAATGTGGCGCAGTAGGTTGTCTCCTGTCTCTCCGGCGATGCCGTCGTATATCGCAGCGTCTGAGGAGCATTTCCAGCCCCTGGAAACGAGTATTTTTTTAGATTACAAAGTAGATAAATAATAGGTAGTGCGTTCCAGGGAACCATTCCTTGATGCAAACAAATTAACAATAAATTATTGAGTCTCGTCGAATATACGGGTGAATACACACGAGGTACTGCTCCGTTTTAGATATGGAGAAACGCAGTATTTTTCTTTAAACATGATATGCTTAGAAATATAAATTTCTTATATTTATCAATGAAGGAGAGATGGTAATATACTCCATGAGGTTGACGAGTTGAAGATGATGCTCACCCGAGCTGATACTTGAAGAGGGAAATCTGAATAACTTCGTCTTGACTGCCAATGAACCGAAGGGTGCAATGTTTTACAGGATTATCAGGCGCTAAACCATCTTTGGTGTCCTCAGATGACTCCAGGTAAGTATCCAAAAATTTCAACTGTCTTCGCAGCTTGGTGCTCCGCGGAAAATTTATTCCATTCGAAATGTAGGACTCACCGCTGTCAAAAACATTACCTACCGAAACATTTTTATAAGAAACTTTATATGGAATTTCCACGGAATGACGATTTTTCCTTTTCTTCTTCTTCGGTGGCATCGTTGATAACGGAGCTTCAGTTTTGACAGAATAAGTTAGTGGCGTAGGTGAGTGTGGGATGTACGTTGATGTATCGAAGTTGCCGCTCGACGATTCATTGCCCCAGAACACGCGCACACATTCACTCGGGGCACGAGAGTTGGCACCGTTCAGATCACCTAAGCAGGAAATCTTTGTAACTATCAAAATTAATGCTAAAGATAATATTAAATCTGCTTTGCTACATAATTTATAATGCAAAATAGTATATAGAAAACTCCTGGAAATTATATTGTAAAAAATATAACTTAGTACTCACTACGGTGAGTGACAGAGGGCTCATTTTCGCGTCGACGAAAACTTGAGGTCACGGACGGACGGACAGACAGACAGACGGACATGGCAAGCACAATAGTGCATTTTTTCCATAAATGAGAAAATGCGCTAAAAAGNCATTTTTGTTATTCACGTTAAACGAAGTAACTATGAGTAAAGTCTAGATTCACAGATGTGCAAGATTTCCAAGAAAATGATCGCAATTTTCCACATGTATAACATCAATTTGAAGAATACTGTTCCTAAAAACGGATTTTAAGATTAATTCTATGCAATTCACCCTGTAGGCAGGTCCATGACTGTAAAGCTCAGTGTTCCCGTAGCGGCAGCTGAGCGCATGGCGAAGAGATATTTACAGCGCGTGTGTGGCGGGTAGAGACCAGGGTGCCCGGGAGACGTTAGGTGGCATGGGCGCTCCGATGTGCAGTGGATGTCTTCGTACAGCCAGTCGCACGCTGCAGGATAAAGTTTCTCCGGTAAGATTTAACATAAAACAAAAAAAAAAACAAATAGAGTTAAAATGTAGCAAACGGACGCTCGGATGTGCAATGGATGTCTTCGTACAGCCAGTCACACGCTGCAGGATAAAGTATCTCAGGTAAGATTTATAAAAAAAAAATAGAGTTAAAATGTAGCAAATGCAAATCATCTACCTACTGTAGTTCCCATAGTTACAGGTGACTGTTAATAGAAATTTTATTGCTTGCGGATGTATGAAGCTTCATCGATAAGCTTTAAAGTCTAACCCAATTGAAGTCACAGAGTAGCATATACAAAACTGTCAACCTATTTCCCCAATTATACATGATTGTTACCCCGTCAGTTCAGTGAATTAAAAAATTACGCACTGATTATAATACACTGATAAATTGAAAAATACATGGCTACAATAATTATTAATAGAAATGATCAGAACACATATATATGAGCCACTAACTTGTATACTGGACTCGGGACCCAACTACGATGATCAGGTTAAGCTCCATTAAACTTCCAGTTACAGTATATGGTGTGAAGAACTGCTTGGATTGCCGTTATCAGTAGAATTTGTAATATTCATTAAGACTGTTTTTGTGGTTACAGAGTGATTGAATTTTTTCATATAAGGTCAATGGAGAAAATTACATGGAAATCTCAATGTTCAGAAACAAGGCTTCAATCCCTTATCGACATATTCTGTTTTTCGATCAGATAAAAACATAAGATATTTTCGATGTTATATCGGTCAACAGTCATCGAGATAGGAACTGAAAAAAAATTATTTGTATTTGCAGATTGCGGCTGGTTCTTGTAGACTTCATAAATCCACTTACATAGGTGAAATATTGAAAACAAAGTGTACTTCAAGCTAGATATGTCATCGAGTTAATTCATTCATACTTATTCCGTTTCTATCATAAAGCAAGTTAGGTCCTTCCCGCTCTTTCCTTTATCATTGAAAATGTACGTCAATGTTTGGTCCATTTCGCCTAGCAAGTTTTCATCATTAAAAATGTTAGCTCATTCCCACTCAGTCCATTTTCATCATAGAAAATATTAGGTCCATCTAACTACGTCTCCTTGAACTCATATCACAGAACAACTTAAAGTCCTCTCCAATCTGTCTTTTACCTTCACTGAACATTGGTCATCTATATACCCACACGGTCCATTTCTTTAATTGAACATGTTTTCAATTTCAATGGTTTTTTCCACTACGCCCAGCTGTATAATGAAGAAATTTAAATCTTTTCCGCTCAGTTCATTTATATCATTGAACAATGAACATGCCAGGTCCTATTCACTCATGACCATCACTGAACAGTGAACGTGCTAGGGCCAACCCGCAGATCACGTTATAGGAGCCGTCGGCTTGGTCGCCAGTCAATGTCCCATGACGCACAGGGAAGAAGATTAGATATTTACTTTGATAGTTGATGACGCGGAGAAATGGGGTTTCAAAAGGGTCGAGTCAGCAATATGTTAGTAGAGTATAGTTTTCTTACAAGTGGCCATGAAATTCGTAAATGTTTTTTCTAGGTCGATTCAAAATTTTCGTACCGGATGCTGACCGAACAATTCAGCACTCAGATGGAAGCGGCAGACTTGAGATATGCTGTCATTGGCTCTATGAATTAGGCACTAAATTAGGGTAAATATAAAAGAAAACGCGAAGAGTGAAGAAGTAATTATTATTGACCTGAACTCGAGCAGAACGCTTGGTCCTGAGAAGGTGACGACCTGATGCTCTGATTTTAACAAGTAACAACAATGATGACAAATTCACGCTAATGTTATGTTACACTCAGACTGTTATGCATGCTGACTTATCATGTACATGGAATATAAAAATAATTATTTTTGACCTGAACTCGAGCAGAACGCTTGGTCCTGAGAAGGTGACGACCTGATGCTAGTATTTTAACTAGTAACAACAATGATGACAAATTCATGATAATGTTATGTTGCATTCAGACTGTTATGCGTGACTCATCATGTACATGAAATATAAAGGTAATTATTATTGACCTGAACTCGAGCAATACGCTTGGTCCCGAGAAGGTGACGACCTGATGCTCTGTGCCGCACAGCGTTGCTATGAGGGCGCTGCTCGTCGAGGTGCCGGCATACAGCGCGATGTAGTTGCTGCTACAGGACCTGCTTTATACAGCAATAATTTCAAACTTAACTCACCGATTGTTCGTGAAAATAAATCTTTAACTAGATAAATGTGTAATGATTATTGCTACAAACAAGCAAATTATAAAGTAATAATTTACGTGTTAAAGAATAAATTTAGACAGTATTTAATCGATGTTAACAGACGCAAAAGATAAAAATATAAGGTAAAAATCAACTGTCCATATACCGTATCGTCGCTGACTTTAATGAAGACTAACTTATACACATTTTTGTTATTCACGTTAAACGAAGTAACTATGAGTAAAGTCTAGATTCACAGATGTGCAAGATTTCCAAGAAAATGATCGCAATTTTCCACATGTATAACATCAATTTGAAGAATACTGTTCCTAAAAACGGATTTTAAGATTAATTCTATGCAATTCACCCTGTAGGCAGGTCCATGACTGTAAAGCTCAGTGTTCCCGTAGCGGCAGCTGAGCGCATGGCGAAGAGATATTTACAGCGCGTGTGGGGCGGGTAGAGACCAGGGTGCCCGGGGGATGTTAGGTGGCACGGACGCTCGGATGTGCAGTGGATGTCTTCGTACAGCCAGTCGCACGCTGCAGGATCAAGTTTCATCGGATTTATATTACAAAAAAAGAGTTAAAATGTAATAAATGCAAATCTGTCAACCACAATTATAGGTGATTGTTTCTAGAAACGTTATCGCATTCGGATGTATGAAGTTTCACAGATAAGCTTAAAAGTCAAAAACCCAAATAGATTTATAAAAGTAGCAAATGCAAAACTGTCAACCTATTTCCCCCAATTATTGATTATTGTTAACCAAGTTCAGATAAAAGAATGAAAAAATTACACACTTATTATGATACACTGAGAAATTGAAAAATACATGGCTCCANCACTGCTACAATTCTGCTGTGCCTAACCGCCCGGCCTCCTTGCCGATTCTGACCAGAAACTGGCGAACAGAGCTGGGATCGAACCCGCGCCTCTCTGCTCCAATCCTGGTACTCTGAACTTTAACCATTGGGCCATGTCATGATTAATACCTGTATATGACGGTTGCACGGCCGGTATCGCTGAAGATGACGGCTGGCGGATGAAGACGCTGGTCTTGTCCGCAGATTTTGACGGCGGTGTGACCATCAGGGCGGTGGACGTCTTCTAAGCGACGTCCGTCTTCAGGAACGTTGAGCTCTGCGTCGCCCCCGAGCTCTTCTCGCAGACGACGTTCTCCGTCAGACAGCTCGACGTAGCCTCCTCTACATCTGGTAGACAGGATACCAAAATAATCAATACCAAAATTAAATTGAATTAGATAAGAAAACTTGGATAATCTTAGGTTTTAGATAATCTTTGATAGATTAGATTAGATTAGAAATCTTAAATTTAAAGTAATAATAATTAATTAATGATTGTGATTTCTACAGGGATAATTTAGTAATTTTTCAAGTAATTTTGCATTCATGCGAATGAAATAAAAATGACGGGAAATATTAATAATTGTCTTTGTTAGGATATGATATGGAAGAGTTGGAAAAGATTTTATTATGCAAAGAGTTACTAAGGGTGGAAGTGCATAAGTTTCAAGAACTGCAAAGATTAGAATCACAATGCAAAAAGATTGACAGGGTGAACTGATCCGACTTCTTCAAATACTGTTCGAAAGTAAGTTATTTCAATTACTACGCAATATTTTAGATCACTGTTCACCGTGAATTATTGCAAAATTATATTCCGTATATAATTCCACTCCAGAGTTGGTTAAGTCCGAGTCTGGCTGTGCTTGCAGGCGAATGCTGCAACAGGTCGAAAATTAGGAATTAATTAATTAAGAAAAATTGGCGAAAATTCGAAATTCACCATTTGAATATTTTTTTTATAAAATTGTCACGAAATTTCTTGATTAATGTTATCGGTTTTTAGCAGTATATGTTGTTATAAAACCCTTAGTTTTTGCTTTCAACGACTCAATGCTGATGGTAGAAATGAAAAAAAACCTTGAAAATGTGTATTAACATCAGATAAAGCAATTGCTCACGCGGTGCCGTTGATGGATGACCCGACATGGATGAGCCTGTGCAGCTGGATCTCAACCCTGTGTCCAGGAGGGGCGCTCAAAGAGTACCAGCAGAGGAGGGGGGGCGTGAGGTCAGCGGGGGGCGACAACGACCCCCCGAGGGTGCCTGCACTCACACTCAGCAACCCTCCGTCGATGGTCACGTTGCACACTGCGGTGCACAGCACAATGCACAAAATTGAATGAAATACAAAACGATGCATGCTTTTTGGTGAAAAAGATGACAATATATACAGATTATGTGTCCATTTCGATTATATTATTATTTGTAACGTTGGCGATAACGATATTGTCACTCGCAGTTGGCCGTCGATGGTCACATTGCAAACTGCGGTGCACAGCATATTATACATAAATGAATGAACTACAAAACGATGCATGCTTTTTAATGAAAAAGATACAATATATGCAGATTATGTTGCCATTTCAATTATACATTGCATACTGCGGTGCACAGCACAATACACAGAAATGAATGAACTACAAAACGATGAATGCTTTTTGATGAAAAAGATGAGAATATATACAGATTATGTGTCCATTTCGATTATATATATATATATATCATCGGTGGTAACGTTGGCGCAAACGATATTGTCACTAGCAGTAGGAATCTTTAGGTAAAACTTTATGAACATTGTAATTTGCAGAGATCACGACGCTTTAAGATTCGGTTCCAAGAGATCCTGGCTTAGAAAATTCCTGTAAAACAAGCTGTTGAACCGACGCAACCATAGTTGTGCAAGTGATGTTGTTTACTTTTGTTGCAGTGATGTTGCAGACCGCACTGTGCGCAACGATGCGGGTTGCTGACACCACACGGGCACGCAACGCGCGGGACGCAACAGGCGCATCCTCGGCCGTTGCTGACATCGGGCGTATCTCGTGAGGCCCCGTCAGGAGACGTGCAGTGACAGCCTGTTGCTGACACCGTCCATAGGTCTATCTGGTCTGTAGACGAGGTATATATGTCACACGGACACAGGTCTATGTCTATTTGGTCTGTAAGACGAGCTATATATGTCACACAGACACAGGTCTATGTCTATTTGGTCTGTAAGACGAGCTATATATGTCACACAGACACAGGTCTATGTCTATTTGGTCTGTAAGACGAGCTATATATGTCACACGCACACAGGTCTATGTCTATCTGGTCTGTAAGACGAGCTATATATGTCACACTGACACAGGTCTATGTCTATCTGGTCTGTAAGACGAGCTATATATGTCACACTGACACAGGTCTATGTCTATCTGGTCTGTAAGACGAGCTATATATGTCGAATGAATAAGCACATGAAAAAGCACAGACTGCATTGAATAAGGAATTTTGAGCACATTTTGATATAATTATTGTTTTGAATGATGACCAACTGCAAATGATGAAAACAGCAATTGGAAATCAGTAAAGTAATTGTGTGACATGAACCAAATCAGAACTGACAAGCTATTAGCTGTATATTTTCGCAATAGAATTCACTCATTTTTACACGCATAATGCTTATCAATAAATCACGATATTTTCAGCTCTTAAAAACACGTCCCAACTTCACTCTGCTTCGGAAGTTTAAGTGCATTCTATTAACAGCAATCACTCCCATGATAAAAGGAGAGCTCGCTAATTTCGAGTCGATTAGCATCCGCTCAGCCAATCTTGAATTGGAGAAGCTTCTATATAAGCAGCTTTGCATATCGAAGAGCTTGCAGCACTTCTTGCCTGAATATAAAGGCTCAAGAATTGGCCATGAGAACAGGTAAATAAGGTGAATAAATGCAAATTTTGTAAATAAAAAATACGAGGTATTGGTAATATGAGATGGAGGTAATGAAGCAGGAAAGAGGAGGTAATATATTTATTTATAATAATTTTGAAATCATCGAAGACTAAAAAGGAAATGACATGAAAATGAGATCGTTCTTGAGCTCCGCGAAAAAATTATAAATTTATAATATATTTTCAATTGAGAGAAATAAATACTTTGTCTTTGAATTTTTTAACCAATGTGCTTGAAATGATTTTGAGTAGACAATGCTTCCGCATTTATCATTACCATAATTTTTCTTCATGTTGTGAAATAAATAAAAGATTTCGACATAGATCTCACTTCAACTTCCAAACAACTTTCAAACAACTCCTAAATGCCAGAATAGGCGAATATTCACATTGTTTTAGTAGTGGGCGTTCGTTTAGAGCCCTGAACTGAGCCTGCTGGTTCACTAAAACGTCAGTGTGCGTTCGTTTAGAGCCCTGAACTGAGCCTGCTGGTTCACTACAACGTTAGTGGGCGTTCGTTTAGAGCCCTGAACTGAGCCTGCTGGTTCACTAAAACGTTAGTGGGCGTTCGTTTACTGCCCTGAACTGAGCCTGCTGGTTCACTAACACGTCCTCACAATTAAAAAGTATATCAGATGCATTAATGTCTAACACTAGGGAACCATGAAGGTAGCCAAAAACAAAATACGTTTATAAAATCGTAAAAATAATTAACGTGCGAACAGAATTGGAAACGCATTATGGTGCAATATTAATCTGGCTTTCCACGTAATGAGGATCTTTCAAACCTCCGTTGGGCCAGTTGAATTGACCATTTGGGTTCTGTGTCTGAACTTGTAAATAATTATGATTAGATAAGCCTGTTAGTGAATTGAAATGGAAGCTTTATTCTAATAATTATGATGCCTATAAATGTGCCTCATAAATCCGAAATGGTAGGTATTTAGATCAAAGGTTGTTTCATCCATCCATTTGATATTAATGAAAATCTTTAAAACTGCGAAAAAGAGCGACTAATGCTACCTAGATTGAATACATACATTGAGATAGGGATTAATTCACTTTGAAATTTCATCATTTTCATCATTTGAAATTTGAAAAATTAATCATTTTTCGTTGAAATATTTACCAGAAGATGATGGTAGAATTGGTGTCCAGACGATGTCAGCGGAGGCCCCAGTCGCCGAAAGGATAACGGTCGGCAGAAGGTAAGTCCAAAATAACGCGTCTACGCTCGCACCGACAGCCATGAGAAGCGTGGACACTGTAATGCACCTCTGCCGCGAGCCGATGAGACTGCAAGAAAATTGTAAAAACAAAGTTGTAGAAAATCAGAGATAGATAATCGGTCAGCATTGATTGGCTAGTATTTACAATATATAAAAATATGTTGTCTTCGGAAGTTGTGTAAAAATCACAGTGAAACATTGGGGTTTTATTGGAATTTCGTATTGGAATTAGATTGGATAAAGTTTTGAAATTGGGAATAGCCGCCTGAACCATTTTGCGTAATTCAGAGTTTCATAGTCTTATTAGTCAATTAAATTTTGAGTAGCTTTACCTTAAAATTTGTTGCCCTGGCAAGAGTTTCGAGAATTTGTTAAAAAAATGGCAGATTGCTACACATGAATGTTTATAACCGTTATACCGATACCCGGTTGACTGTTGCTAAACTGTTAACCTTAAACATAATGTTGAACCTGTACATCGAAATAGAAAAGCAAATATTCACAAATAATGTATAAAACGGATCTAATGAAAAAAAGTTATGTAATGTTGAACCTGTACATCGAATTAGAAAAGCTAATATTCACAAATATTCACATTTAATTTATAAAGCGGATCTAATAAAGCAAAAAATTATGGGCCAAGAATAATTGATGACAAGTCCGCGCACTGAGAATTTCATCAGAGGACGAGAGCTCGCATTGATCGTGCTCTGTGCTGCACTTGACCCGCAGTTGTAAGTGGATTATGTGCTACAGAACACAAGAAATGTATAATTAGAGGACAAATAGTGCTGCATCATGCAATACCTGCTCTTTTACGTGTGAGACGAGCATTAAACAGTCGTGTTGTTGAATTGAATTAATATTGCATGCGATATAGCGACCAATTATATATACGTAGCAGACAAGCGGACGTTGCCTATACGCTGCATCACGCAATACTTGTTCTCTTAAGAGTCAGGCAGGCATTAAACATGGGTGTTATTAAATTGAATTTACACTGCACGCGATATATTAGGATTTGCCTCCGCAGAGCGACCAATTAATTATTATACAAGCGCAATTTACATCAAAATTTTCTATACGTCGTAACTGAATTCGCACTGAGAAATAACGGTGGCCTTAACAGATAAGCAGTCAACTGTGAAGTGAGTCAATAAACCCTGGGATATAAAGCATTCACTTCAAGGCCCGCTCAGCTGATAACGCAAAATTAAGGTATCACAATGACCGACCCGCCAATATTGCGGCAGCAAGAAATTAATGTAGAAAATAATTCTGCAATATCGTACTCTGTATCAAGGAGACGCAAGGTACGTTCTTATTTAAAATAAGTTGCTTCATTTGCACAATCAATGAAGAGAATACCATCGAACTAAATTATACTCGTATAAGTGAGTGGCGTTTTATCCAATTAGTGATACATTTGCAGCCCTTGTTTGGGCCGTATATACTGCCCTAGTTGCTCCCCGGACATGCTTGTACAAATGTTACATGCATAGAGCGAGTCACTATTTAGACAATATGATCCGTTCATTTGTCTGAGTCCATAAATCATTATTAAAACTGAAGAGAGAGATGCAAAATTTTTATTTCCCAGCATTTAATTATTAACGAGTGTGCGCTCCAGAGATTATTGTCATTGATAATTATTGTCTTGAAAATGTGAGTTCTATTAAAGACAATAATTGTTGCCTTCTTTAGCGCGAAGAAGAGGCGCAAGCGTCACTGCACGCGATATATGCACTGCCAAGTGATTAGTAAATGCCAACCTCACAGCCGCAGTCTGCCATCCCATTAGCGAGTCGCTCCACAAGCAGAGTGGCCCCAATTAAGCAATTAATGAGGCTGCAGCTCATTAGCATTACTGCATCAGGCTTTGGTAACCTCCTTATATGCAAGCGATGCTGCAAAGGTCTTCAGAGTGGCGTCAAGCCAGAGTGTCGGAAGCTATATTCTAGCAAGCAATGAACATTTCTAAAGCATATAATATGCAGGGAAAATATCAAAGCAACTTAAACGCAATAATGATGAAGCTTGGAATGGAAATTTAGAGATAATGATGTGAGAACTTTTTTTTCGTTTTAATATCACTTTGCTTGGCAACTCATTCGTCATTATTTCTCATCAAAGAAGGACATGACATCACATTTCTTTCATTTGATAAAAACCACCTGGTTTTATACTAAAATATCGTGTAAAATACGTAAAAAAAATCTATTCCATGTAAAAGCCATTTTAATCTTGGTTTTCTCGAACACTATAAAACAGCATCTACAACGAACGTATTGTAAAAAGCTGTTTTCTGCGTAGTTGATATTCGAGCGAAAAAATTCACATTTATGTAACAGGAGTCACGTCAATGTTGTGTTGTGTCCCACAGGAGCAGAACTTCTTGTAACAAATGCAGAGGCGGCAGCAGGCGTTTCGCTTCAGCTTACAGGTCTCATGGACTCCCTGGAGCAAAGAGCGTCAAGTGGCTTGCCGGAACGACAGGCTCACGACTCCAGGGCGACCCGACCACTCCAAGTCTGCTCGGGACGGTCCCAACTCTGCTCTGGACGGTCCCAACTCTGCTCGGGATGGTCCCAAGTCTGCTCGGGACAGTCCCAACTCTGCTTGGGATGGTCCCAAGTCTGCTCGGGACGGTCCCAACTCTGCTCGGGACGGTCCCAAGTTCGCTCGAGACAGTCCCAAGTTCGCTCGGGACGGTCCAAGTCTGCTCGAGACGGTCCCAACTCTGCTTGGGATGGTCCCAAGTCTGCTCGGGACGGTCCCAAGATAGAAGCCGCTGTTCCAGACGACGTTTCTTCAGACATTTTAAAAATGGCTGTCACGTTCGACCTTAATTTCTGGCTGTTCTTGAGTGGGATCAAAGTAACTTGAACGAAAGTTTTGTTTATATGGAAGTGAATTTAGGAATAATCTCTCATTTCTGTGATGAAGGAAATTGATGAACTGTGTGAACATTGCGAAATTTTTGGGGTGTGGAAGATGTATTGGGACTATACAACAAAAAAATATGTTTTCTCAATAATTGTGTAGAGAATTGTTCGTCTAGAGCATGACAATCACCTGAACAATAGGCTCCGAGTCTAAAACATTTATTCTGCGAGTTGAACAGCCTCAACAATGGATGATCATAGATAGAAAAAATATAACTCAGTACTCACTGCAGTGAGTGACAGAGAGCGCATTTTCTCATCGACGAAAACGTGAAGTCACGGATGGACAGACAGACAGACATGGCGAGCACAATAGTGCATTTTTTCCAGATATGAGGAAATGCACCAAAAAAAAAAGATTTGAAAGATAGAGGATCAAATTCATCTCCACGCATGGCCATTAGACGGAAAAAATTCAAAGTTTCGTATAATAATAAGACGAAACATATATCCTACAGTCCAATATTATTCCTACAATATATTTTTATTTATTGCTTATTTTTTACTTAAGCTATCAAAATTGATTAATTTGTTCATAAGACGCAAGCATCTGATTTACAACAAAACTTTTCAACACGTTTCCCGAGCTGAAAGGCCACTGGCAGCTGCGAGTGTTAGAATTTAAAGTTACATTCCAGAATTATTCATTGGACCTTTCAGCCAGAATTTCGGAACATTGGTTCCTGCAAGAAACCGCTTCACCAAGCCAAATCAAAACTTGGAAATTGGTTTACTGAAATGCAAATGCACTGATTTTTAATCGATGATATGGATTTGAATGTGAAAATGATTTAATTGTCAAATAAGGTTCATTATAAATGTTTCCAGAAGCTAACATGGCCAAGTTACGACGCCAAAGTTTTTGGCTATGAAGGTGTTCGCCTCTCGTAAAACTGATTTAAAACTGATTTACCTCAACGATTTCTCTGACCTCTAACTACGATGATCAGGTTAAGCTCCATTAAACTTCCAGTTACAGTATATGGTGTGAAGAACTGCTTGGATTGCCGTTATCAGTAGAATTTGTAATACCTATTCGTTAAAACTGTTTTTGCGGTACATAGTGATTGATTTTTTTCATATGAGGTCAATCGCAAGTTAAGGAGAAAATTACATGGAAATATCAATGTTGAGAAACAATTCCCTTATCGACATATACTGTTTTTCGATCAGATAAAAACAAAAGATATTTTCGATATGTTATACTCATACGCTCAACGGTCATCGAGATAGGGACTACAAAAAATTATTTGTACGGGCAGATTGTGGCTTGCACTAATGTATTGTAGAGTTCATGCTAGTATTACATAGGTAAAATATTGAAAACAAAATGTACTTCGAATTTAGATATGCCACTGAGTTAATTCATTCCTACTCAGTTCGTTTCAATCATAAAGCAAGTTAGGTCTCTCCCGCTCTTTCCTTTGTCGTTGAAAATGTTTGGTCCTTTTCGCCTCGGAAGTTTTCATCATCGAAAATGTTAGGTCTTTCTCACTATTTCTCTTTGAACTCGTATCACAGAACAACTTAAATCCTCTCCACTCAGTCTTTTACCTTCACTGAACATCGGTCATCTACATATCCACCCGGTCCATTTCTTTAATTGAACACGTTTTCAATTTCAATGATTTTTTCCACTACGCCCGGTTAAATGAAGAAATTTAAATATTCTCCGTTCAGTTCATTTCTATCATTGAACAATGAACATGCTAGGTCCCATTCACTCATGACCATCACTGAACAGTGAACGTGCTACGTCCTCTCCACTCATAACCATCACTGAACAGTGAACGTGCTACGTCCTCTCCACTCATAACCATCACTGAACAGTGAACGTGTTACGTCGTCTCCACTCATGACCATCACTGAACAGTGAACGTGCTACGTCCTCTCCACTCATAACCATCACTGAACCGTGAACGTGCTACGTCCTCTCCACTCAACCATCACTGAACAGTGAACGTGCTACGTCCTATTCACTCGTGACCATCACTGAACAGTGAACGTGCTAGGGCCAACCCGCAGATCACGTTATAGGAGCCGTCGGCTTGGTCGCCAGTCAATGTCCCATGACGCACGCAGCAGAGATTAATGGGCGGCGGTCAGCGTAAAATTGCATCTCTCGAGCCTTTGTGGCCGCATCAGCAAATGAAGAAAGCCACGTAATGTGCTCGCTTGGTGGTGTGCCGCAGCGGCGACCTGGAGCCACAAATGAATTGGATAATAGGAGAAGTGGTGCGTCCGTTTTTAGGAACCGCAATAACTTGAAGTGATTTAGCTGCTGGTGATGTTGTGAGGGGGAGATACGGTGGACTGCCGATGACGTGAGAGTGTAAAGTAGCAGAAATTTTATGGTATGATGAAGCTACGGTGTGGAAGTGGAGTGGTGTTGATGTTAGATATGGGGGCTTTATATGGTAGTTAAGTGGATATTGTTTTCTAAGTTATGACCCTGACATAGCAATACCTAAAGCGGAGTCTGAAATAAATCATCACAACGACTTTAAGATGACGTAAAGACGCGTAGCGTTAGCGTTAACACTTCACCATTCTAAAGAAGATAACAAAAGTGTCATAGGATTCGTGCAGAAACGTGCGTTTCCTTATTTTAAATATCGTTCTTGTTTGTGCGCTCAAATAATACTGAGTTCAGTTCAGTAGCAATCTATGAAGATTGGAAAATCGTAATTTTATTCATTGTATTTTAATTAAGGCGAAATGGCGAGCTGAAGAATGGAAGTAATGCATAACACCCACCAACAAAATTAGAGCATGAGCAAGATATAATGTAGAGAAAAATAATAATTTAAAAGTAAATAGCATGCCTAGTAAATTCAATCTATGTAATTTCAATTAGACATGGCAGCATTTTTAGTTTGCAATTTTTTGTCAATTCGCGACTCAAACAAAATAACGACATGAACAACTTTGTAATAGAAAAAAGATACTCTGTAGTAAAAAAGCTTACATTCTGGTAAATTTTTTGATATAGTAATGAACAAAATTTCTGAAGCTCAAAATAGCGCTGAGAGCAGCGGCCGGCACTTAGCTTCATCATGACGCTGGAGGCTCGCACGCCTGATGCCGTTATCTCGCATAATTGCTCGACGTCGCTCATCAAACACGGACCGAGAAAAACGGGGCAAACGACGTAAATTCTACATTGAACTTTCCTTACATCCTTACGAGAGGCAAAAACCAAAGTAGGTTATGAATGATGAACCGACTACATGATACTCATCTTTGAGATTTATGCTGACTAATGCAATTTTTACGAGGCAAAAAGACTGGCGGCCGGCTGAAAATTATTTTTTGCAAGTGCTTAAACACATTAGAAGAATGAAAAGACTGTGATGTATTGAAAGCGGGGAAGCCTGATTTGATTTTTCTTTCCATGAGATAAAGGAGAAATATATTAAACCGACGCACAAAGTTGAAATAGTTAACACTTTCACTTTCAATAGAGAAATCCATTCTCGTGAAAAGCAAAAGAAAACAAGTAAATTTTAAATGAAATCCAGTGCTTTTTCTCTTAATTCATTCCACTTCAACGCTTTTAGAAATGACCGTGTAACTGCGAGGTGCTTGGTGAAGAACGTATTTATTTAACGTTTGTTCAATGGATTTTCGCTTCAATGATGCAATTCTTCCATGAGGTTTGTTTGATCCCGGTGAGTTTAACCACAGATTGGATTTTTTTTCAAAAACAGATTCAGCGGAAGATTTAGATGTTCTACGTGAGCGCAATATACATGGGAGCGTTAGTAGATGGCATCACAAATGCATGGTGAGTATCATGGATACACTCGCGTGATGAAGACTTACTGCATATTCATTGGCAAGTTACCATATAGTGCGGTCCTGTGAGACCATCATGCAGCGCTCAAGGCTATTGCTGCGTAAAACATTGCGGTATCTCGCTCTGCTGATGGGATGTGAGAGTCTGTTAGTGGATGCTATAAAATGCTGCAGCACGATACAATCGGATGTTTGATGAAGATTGTTTCGGTGTCTTTTTTCCTGGGTAGTGGTATGTTTTCAGCTCACTTGATTGGGTGAAAATGTCTAACGTTTTGGTTAACTTGAGCCGCTGTGGTGTCTAGGTCATTTTTGCTTATCAATGCGAGAGAATATATTAACAATTAACCTCTTCTTCTTGCCATGATTATTTCCATTAATTGATATCTCTATTAAACACGTTTTAAAATAAATCAGTGTATGTTCAAAATATTTAATCGAATTTATCATTAAATTGGGATCAATATATTGCCACTTTTAACATTGAAAACACTTAAACTTTTCTGAAACTAAATTTACTTTCGGTATAGGGCACAATTATCTTTGCTTTAGTTTTAATTAGACGTTGAGTAGAATAAAAGCGTGGCATCTCTGCTAACACTCACATAGTAGCGACAAACAACGGATACTATACAAATGATGGTTTAAATTTGCGTTGTGTGTGTATGGGGGGGGAATATTTTTAGATTTTCGTGTCCGACAAAATAAAATGGGGCCTTGCGACTTAATCGTAAACACTTACGTGTGTCAAAGACCTATTAATTAAGACAATTTTTCGGTCCCGCTTTGAAATGTGCATGGAATCACAAAGCTTGACCATAAGCTAGGCGACCAAACAAAGCAATGGAAGGCCATCAAACAAGAAGCCTTGTAATTTAGCTTACATAAGTGCCCTTTATACTCACGCCATGGGAATGGACTGCGCTGGGACGCTGGTTGACGTGAAGGAATCAGGACGGCAGGGATCAGGCCGACTGACTTGTCATGTTTCAATGAACACGTCCGTACTGCGACGA